GTGGTAAACACAAAACCCGAAAAATGAATTCGCAACGTTTGATGACGTAAAGGCGCACCAGAGCATTTCAATTTGATTTAGATGTAGCAATGATGCTCTAAGGGACTTAAAATGAATACAGAAAAAAAGAATATATAAAAATATCATTAGAACTTTAGTAGAACAAAGTGAAATGGGAGTTTTCTTAGTGAATTTTATCGAGTCCCCGGAGAGAACAAAACATATGGATAAACTGTTACGGTAATAGCGAAAAACGCTTTCACTGTATACCGTCAATACATGTACACTATTGCCTATTTGGTGTAGAAAAATTGAGAATATTGTCCATAACGTACTTATAAATTTAGTTAGTTGAACTGTTAATTTGCGTTTGAACATATACATATAAACAAATGTGATAAACCCTGAATTTTCTTACATTCAACAAAGGTAAAGCTCTCGAGATTCCAGACATTTTTTCTTTAGTAAACATTAAACACGGCTTTCCACATTTTTTCTTGGGGAAGTTTAATTTTTTTTTTTTTTTTTTTTTTTGAAAACCATTTTGATTAATGTACACATATATTTGGTATTACAATGAAAAAGATATTCATATTATATTAAATTCCATGTGACATCATTTATGTTGTCTTTGGAGACCAGATTTTCTAGCACTATGAAAGGAATTCCCATGGATAATAACAGTGCCCCTTTTTCTGGCAAACCTAATTCTTTATTGTCATGCAATGTGACGTCCGTTCGAGAACTTCTTAGCAAAATGTATTATTCCTCCTCACTTTTTGTAAAACATTTAAATTTAAATTTACAAATGTAATATTTTATAAGTAACAATTATACATAATTGCTTATCTTCTTGTCTAACTTCCAATCAGGAGCTATAACTTCATTGATGGTTAATTATAAATTGGTTGAATAAAAATATAATTATTATTACAATAATCATCAAATTATTTTGAAATTTAGGAATTCTTCATTAAGAAGTGTAAAATAATTAGAAAGTTGTTAAGTGTGTCATGATGGTACTTACGTTATTTTATATTGATCTATCTATCTGGTAAATATACATCATATCAAATAAAGAGAGACAATTTCTCAGAAGAGACACATCTTTTAGTTTTTTTTCATAAAAAATTGAATGTATTTCATAAAAATACAATGTACAGCAAATAGATGACTCTGTACACATTAATAATAACTGACTATGTAACTTCGATCACTTAATCTGTTTATGAATGTAGGTCCGCGTAGCGCAGCGGATAGCGCACTGGACTTCTAATCCAGAGGTCGTGGGTTCGAATCCCACCGTGGATGCTTTTTGTATGCCTCCGTTTTGTTGCAAATAGTTTTCCGCTGTCTTGTCTTTCTTCTGTGTGTCTGTCTGTTTGTCTTTTTGTCAGCATAAAAGTCTTTAACCAGGCACATTCAGTTATTTTGATTGGATAAGGTAATGTTTTCATAGTGCAAATGTTTATTTTGAAGACGCCTTTCACTGGATACCAACATATTTACCTTTTGTCCATAACCTTTGTATAAGAAATACTTTTATGGACTTCTATAAAACTTTTAACCTTTACCAAAAAAACTTTATCCATATTCGAAATTGACAACAAACAGATACGCCTTTGGACAGAAAGAAGAAAAAAACACAACAAGCAAATTCAAAGAATTGTGGTCCCCCGCTTTCGGTGTCTTTGTGGGTGAGATGTCATTTTTATGACAAATTGTGTCAAATATGAACGCCCTATCATATGTCATTTAGAAATTATCGCTGAAGTTGATTTTTAAAATATAAGGTCTATCGTGAAGGTCAAGGTCAAGGGTTAAGAAATCAAGCATGATCGGGATTATCTTGTGAAAGGTAATGCACATGTCAAATATGAAAGCCCTATCTCAACTTAATAATATAAGGAACAAGAACACTGATGACCCCTTATGGCAACACAGCGAAGATTAAACATTTCTTAAATGGAAATAAATATACTATTACCCAAAATAGAGACTTTTCACAAGAAATACGTCTGTGAAACACGAAATCCCTAGCACCACCTGTTCAAAAGTTATGACGGAGGATATATTTTTGAAAGGTAGGTCAAACGCCAAGGCCTAAGGGTCAATTTCTTGGTATTCAATGAAAGGTCATCTCACAAGATTTACATATGTGAGGTATGAAAGCAGCACCATTTTACCATTTAAAATTTATGACCAAAGTTAAAGTTTTTTCATAAGTACGGAAATCTCAAAGGTCATGGTCAATGTTGTTGGTATCCGATGAAAGGTCTTGCCACAAAGAATATATATGTGAAAATGATAGTCTTAGTATCTACCATTTAAAAGTTATGGCCAAAGTTAAAGTATTGATTTTTTGTTTAAAAGTGGGTCAAACTCAAAGGGCAAGGTCAAAAGGTCAAATTTTACCCAAAACTAGGTCTTGTCACAATGAATACACATGTGAAATATGAAAATCATAGCTCTACTTAATCAAAAGTTATGGGCAAGGTTAAAGTTTTTGTGATGGACGGACAGACTGACGGACGGAGAGACGGACAGACAAATGAGATTTAATGTACACAAATTTGCCCTAAATCTTTGATTATAGAGGCATAAAAAAGAAACATCCACGGTGGGATTCGAACCCACGACCTCTGGATTAGAAGTCCAGCGCGCTATCCGCTGCGCTACGCGGACTATATTTACAACTGCACTGAATGATGAAAAGTACACTGTGAATGTGTTTAGATCAGCTACATTGATGTATTTTAACGATAAACTAAGCAATATATCTCACCCGTTGAAAATGTCTCTTTACCTTTGATGTATTGTACATTTCAAAGACTGATCACCATGGCGTGATGTCAGTAGATAAAGAACACTTGCGAAACGATTTCTTTTTTGTCTTCAGGCACGTTGTAAGGTTCTCATCTTCTTTTAGTATTCTTATTCAAATTTTGAAAAAAATTACTAATAGATTAATTTCTACATTGTTTAACATTCAAATAAGTGACCAAAGGACATGATCTAATAAAAGTGAAAATGCACCTTATGATTTCTTCCACCAGCCTCTTTAAGTAAAAGTACATTCGCTATTATTTTCTGTGTCTTAGGTCGATACCACTTGCTTTGAGGTCTGAGAACCACATATGAACCGTTCACTGAAGTCCATAACGATTATATTATATAATTATTTGAAGTAAATTATCTAACACAGTTCTAACTGAATTGACTCGGTCGTCATTTCGCCAAAATGGTGAAAATGTGCTTCTTATATTATGATGCCATGTACTATGTAAATTTTATGCAACTGATGGTGTGTCGTGCAATATTTTAATGCTTCAGATGAGACTTTCTCTTTCAGAATGACAAAAGGAGAAATATCACGTGACGTGCTTTCAGTCAATGAAATGTACGAAAATAATCATCTGACATTATCTTGATTTTGATGTTCCTCTTATCGAAGAATCGGGTGTATATAACTTTTGCATTGTCCGTTTGTTTGTCTGTTTGTCTGTTTGTCCACAAGAAAACATTTAATCTTGACCATTAGGTTTGAGTGAGTGGATAGCTCAAATGTGTATTCCTTTTGACACGACCTTTGTTTTTGCTCTTCTTAATTTGACCTTGAATTTGTACTTTGACCCAAATAACAAAAAAATTACAAAACTTTTACCTTCACCACAACTTTTAAAGAGTTGCTGCTATGGCTTTCATGCTTCACATATTTGTTCATTGTGACTCTTTGATCTTGACCTAAGAGTATCACTTAATTTTAAAAAAAAACTTTAACATTGGCCTTAACTTTTGACAAAAAATACTAGGGTTTCCATATTTTAAAGGTGAACGCCCTCTAACAGGACCTTCCATTGGATACCCACGACCTTTGTACTTTGACCATATAGAGTTTAACTTGCAATTGAAAACCCCAAGCCATAATCTGCCAGATGGGGCATCAATGTTTCACAAGCACGTATTGTTGGGTTTTTGTACCTTTGGTTGTAATTATTTAAATGGGTTAATTTTTACAGAATGGTTTTTCTTGGGAAAGGTTCCTTCAAATCAGTACATTAGCCTTTATAAAACTTCTTTAAATTGCCTTATATTGTGCATGAAGAAAGAAACTTGAAATGATTAATTTAAAGATTTCGTTTAAAAAACGATAAATTAAATTTTAGACAATTGTTTGATGATTGATCAACATATTCACCAAACATCAATTTAATTTATCAATTCTCTTTTTTTTCTTAAAAATCAAAATTTAATTACAAATTTACAAATGGGGAGAAAGGTTTGGTCTTTTACCAGCTTCATTTTTTAAAAGGTTATAAGTTGCCAAAAAGCTCAGACTTTAGAAGTATCCAGATCTGATAAACACCACTCCTCAAATACCCGGTATATTGATTTTTCTTGTACAGTCCTCTTGTTATTTCTCCTTCACTGCTTCACTGATAATATCTCGCTGCAGAGTAAAGAAAGGGGCATCATATAGTATCTATTATGTATTGCTTATACGTATATGACTTTAGTTGTATAGTTTATTCAATTGCAATATCGTTGTTAGGAATATAAGTATAAAGATAGTTAAAACAGACATGATTTTAGAAAAAAAACTTATTCTCCTTAGATTGATTGACTGATTGATTGTATGTTGTTTAACGTCCCTCTCGAGAGTTTTTCACTCATATGGAGACGCCACCACTTGCCGGTGGAGAGCTGCAAATTTTGTCCTATACTCGGCAATCAAGGCCATTGAGCAGGGAGGGGTGTTTTTCGTGCCAGCACCTACTGCGAGACCTTATAAAGTCTCATCTGAAGGACCGGTCTCCATGTCCCACAGTGGGATTCGAACCCGCGACATAAGGATCAACTCCTTACTTCGCGACTCTATAGAAGACGTTCTAACCATTGCTATTCTCCTTAGACAGAACATTATTAAATGTTAATAATCACTCGCAGGATTCCTTCTGAGTTCCTCTTAAATCCACTAATGTACAAACAATAATGAATAATAAAATGCTACAAAATTTTTATTGTAAAAGATTCGTCACAAGTTCCCTTTTGTCGTGCAAGTAATTCCAGCGTTCTGAAAGAAAAGAAAAATAAAATTTCAATTTGCATTGAAGATTCATATTTGCTTTTTTCAAGTTTTTTTTTATGAAAAACATATGTATGCTAGCATAACTTTGATTTGTAGAAATGTTTTCTTTTTTTATTCAATGGTTATCTTCTACGTTTGTCTTTAAACCAACCTTAACTTGTCCGAGACCCATGAACATATTATAAAATGTCTAAATAAAAATCTTTATAGAAAGAAAATATACACTGATAATGTATCCTCAATGTTATTGGAGTTCCAAAGCTTAAATAAAAGTTAATTTAACTAATGCAATTATATAAATTAATAAATGAACTTTGTACTTTTTATATTGAAAAATGAATTGAAAATAAAGTTGTGGAATTTCCTCTGTATTGGTAATTAACATATGTTTCTAGGCCTTTTAAACTTAGTGGTTAACAAAGACAAAAATCTTAACCTTCTTAACCCTAATTTTATCCTTCACCCTTTACCTACGTTTTCATCCTAGACATCTTTACGTACCTCAGTGTTTATCCTTAAGTATTTATCCTACACCTTCCACCTTACTTCCTATATCCTAGACAACTTAAACTTGTATATTGTTTAGACTGGGTCTCTTTGCTTTAGTGTTTATTTTACACATTTTGTCTGAGTTTCTATATCCTAGACTTTGTTACACTAATGTTTATCCAAGACCTCTGACCTACGTGTTTATGACATCCTTACCGAGTGTTTATCCTAGTACACCTTCTTTTTGGGGTATCCGCCTCCTAGTCCACCGAGTGAACCGCCAAGAAGTCCGTCATTGAGTCCGCCTAATCCTCCCAATTGGTTGCCTAAAAGTCCTGATCCAAGTCCTGATCCGAGTCCGCTCAATCCACCTAATCCAGATTGTGGATAATAACCTCCTACTCCAGGGTATCCACCTCCCAGTCCAGTCAGACCACCTCCTAGTCCGGGATAACTTCCTCCTAGTCTGGGATAACTTCCTCCAACTCCGGGATAACTTCCTCCGAGTCCGGGATAACTTCCTCCGAGTCCAGGATAACCTCCTCCAATTCTGGGATAACTTCCTCCTAGTCCGGGATAACTTCCTCCGACTCCTGGATAACTTCCTCCTAGTCCAGGATAACTTCCTCCTAGTCCGGGATAACTTCCTCCTAGTCCGGGATAACCTCCTCCAAGTCCAGGATAACTTCCTCCGAGTCCAGGATAACTACCTCCAAGTCCAGGATAATATCCTCCAGATCCAAGTGGGTAACCACTTCCTAATCCAGGATAGTAACTTCCTAATCCAGATAAACTGGAACCTAGACCAGGATAGTAACCACCTCCAAGTCCGTTCAAACCACTGTATGGATAGTTGAGACCATATTGTCCCAGATTGCCGAGTGAACCTTGATATGGATTGTAATAGGAATTAAGACCTTGGTTTCCTAGGCCGGCACCATAGGGACTGTATAAAGAAGGATCATTATACAGTGGAGATCCTTGTCCTAGGAGACCTCCTTGCAGGTTGTATCCAGGATAACCTGAATGGGATTTGCCTTTGCTCCCGTACGTACCAGCCTGAACGGCGGCGATTGAAAGGACTAGGATCACTGTGGCGAATTTCATGTTATGACCTGAAATTATACAATGTTTAACATGTAAAAAAAGTTCCTGATAAAATTGGCTATTCTTGTAATTTTTCCAATTGTGTCGTTCCTTATCCAATTTATTGTATTATATTTTCTTTGAAAACTAAAGAATTTTTTTAAGTGTGCTTTACCATAGAGAGTTACGATGTTATCTTGATTTATTTAATATATTGTTCAGATACGTGTTTTTCTAAAGATGTCATTTAAAGACATTATTTTATTCATTCTGGTCTAACGGTTCAATTATACTCTGAATAGAGATTAAACTCTAATTGGACAAAATGATTTTTCCCTTTTTAAAATGTTTGTGTTATTAGGCATTTCTGTCAAATTTAGCCTTGCAGGTTATGCTGAAAATATATGCATTTTAATTTTGGATAAGAATTTTTTTGTAAATCATAACCATCGTGGGAAAAAATCGTTTATCTTAGAAGGGGTATAATGAACCTTAAATGTTATTTTAGAAGGTTTAAAAGTTTTTTTAGAAATTTGATTTTATTCATAAAGTAATGAAAATTTAAAAAAAAAAAGAAAGAAAGAAAAGCTTAAAAGTTTTCTTTTTCGTTTGTGACATAAGTGAATCTTAAAATTGAAATAATTAAGAAATTAAGTCAACTTCAAAGATTCCAAAAACGAAGTAATGTACAATTCAGATCATTTTCCTTTCACATACATTTATCAGACTAAAATGATTTTTTTTTACTTACGTTTCGTCTTTCTGACTTCAGAGTGAAGGCAACAGTTCCTAGCCCCTTTTTATATCTAAACCTCCCCGGCAATTGTCCAGTAAAATTTCAAATAAAACCACGAAACATAATTAATTGATGGATTAGAAAATTATTGTTATCAATTACTTTTAACAAACCGCAGGTATCAAACTTTGTTGGAGTACGTCATCGATTGAATTTTTCTTTAAAGAAAAAAAAATGTTTTCAGTTACTTTTTTTAATTCACTACTTCATGTGTTTTTCAAACGTTTGTAACAAAAATGAAAAGCAAAATCTTATAAAAAATCATTCAATTTTCATTTTTTTAAGAGATATGAGCAGAATTATTTCATTTTAATAGAACATAATAATTATCCAATTGCTTCTTTTATAATTATCTGTACTGCAAACAATGTCATTGATTTTTAATATTTCATTTTTATGCCCCCGTAACTGAAGATTCGGGGTACATGGTTTTTGTCCTGTTCGTCGGTCTGTCTGTCTTTTTGCAAAAAATATCCTTACTTTTTAGTGGGTAGGGCTATGGCTTTCAAATTTCACGGGTGTATCCTTGTTTAAAGACTTTTTTGGGGTATCATCAAATTGTACCACTTAACCTTGACCTTAATTTATGGCACATTTTTATAAAAAATCAAAACTTTTACCAGCCATAAAATTTGAACTATGTTATATAGTAAAGGGAACTTTTTTACTGGGAAATCTTAGAATCCCAGAAAACTCTCATTACATTATAATATTTAATTCAGTATATCTTTTTTATATTCTTTCTTTGTCTATTTTTTTTTATTCTTGGGACACTTTACGCTTTATAAACAGCCAAGCGGTTTATCAAAATGCGTAAACTGCCATAAGTTATGTTATATCGTATAACATATTTAAAATAAACTTAATTTCTTATAATTTTATATCAGTATAGCCAATAACACAATTTTCCCTCCAAAATGGCTTGAAATTGAGCATATTTTAAAATTCCAAGTGGGGTAATACGTTTTTGATGTATCTCATTGTTACTTATGTTATACAATATAAATATATATTTTATGAAATCAAATTTCATGTCATTGAAAAATTAAATTAATTTAATTTTTTAACTAGAATTGATTTGACAGAGAAAACTATCATATGAAGCAACCCTAACATTCTTGTGATTTTCAGAAAAAATTCTAAATGTCACTTCATATAACACTGTGTAAAAGAAAATGAAATAAACTTTTTTTTTTAAAAGTCAGATTTTTGATACAACGTTTTACTAAATTTAATGCCACATTAATATACATTTATATGTGTACATAAGTAATGTAATATATCATGGCTTCAAATTTTATGCAAAATTGTTCTCGGTCTGATTTCTGAACTTTGTTTGATTTGATTTAAAAGAAAATGCCCCCAAAATCAAAACTAAATTACTTTAATATTTTTTCTTGGAAATAATAATATGAGTTATTTTTCAAAAACATTCTTTATTCAATGAAGTATTATCAGACAGTGATCTTAAGAATTGATTGAGCAATAAATGCATGCGAAAAGCATGTCTGTTTTTTATGTTTATTTCAGACAACTTTAAAGTTTAATTTCACCTGGAACACGACCAGAAAGCATCACTCATTCTGTCTTTATTTTCTATCAGAGAGCAGTAAGTGTAAATAAATCAACATTTGGCTAGACCTTCGGCGACCTGTCTATGAAATACATAATTAGAGTCATTAACGAGCGTTGTTAATTAAAATTAAAATATTTCTTATTAGAATCTTCCGTGCTTAGTTACTCGTTGTTGATTTATGCATCTAGTTTCTTCGTCGCATCAATCACTCTGAAATGATTCATATTTATTCTGTAATATTCTTACAGTAGATTATGGCACGAAAAATATCCCCGACTATAAAATGGCTCTTAAGGTATAAATTTGAAGCCCTCAACCTACAAAACAATTGCGTTTCGATATTAAGAAAAGTCATAGAAAGGATGCGTAACAGAATTATTTTTTTTTGTCATAACAATTTGTTATAAAACCTCTTTTTAAAAAAAAAGAATTGAATACATTACTTGCTCGTTTCTCGTAGGATTTAGTAATTTAATTGTAGATTTTACGAAGGAGATGAAAAAAGAAAAGAAGAAACCCTTATATCAGATTGTTTTGATAAAACGTGATTGTATTATACTTTAAAGTTATTAATAAATAATTGACTATAAGAATTTGATAGATTTACGATATTTGCGAAATTTGAATAAGAGATAATTGATCTTCGTTACTAAACTCAAATCGTTTAGAATTTTCAAAGTTATATGTATTTTATGATTTGTTCTAATATTCTTACCCCTAAACAAAAAAATATTTCAAGTTATCGGAAATTAAACTTTCTAGATTTTTTTTTATTATAAATAAATCACAATGTTTACTATTCTAAACTTCGTAATAATTTTCTTTCTGCAATATTTACGGTTAGAACCGTTTGCATGAGCATACTGATACATAGTATCGGTTCATGTTCATATGTTTCATGCATGTCAGTTGTTTGACACAATTCAATAGATAAATATACAAATATAAGTTTTTGTGATATTGATTTCAAAGAATTAAATGTTGAATAGTATAACAATGAATGATTGTTTATACTCCCACAGACCGATTTCCGTGACTGAAATGCAAAAGGCGTTAAAATGCCTTTACAAAGTCTGCACAAATTTTACTGCCTCTTCCCTAAAAAATTAATAGCAAAAAATAGGGAATACCCAATCTTCTAAATGGACAGAAAATTTCCTTATAGCTTTGATTTCATTTGATTCTCCAAGTTAAACAACAGAACAAATTTCGATTGTTTTAAAACACGAAAATGACATATCAAGAAATATTCATTTCTCAAATTTTAAGATGAGTGATTTGAAAAAAAAATCGATAAAACAATTCCCATATTCTTCCATGGTCCATTAACCATCAACTAAGAAATGAATCTAGTAATTTAAATGCTCATCTGTATAATCAGCATCTGTAAGTGAAATAGCATCTTATACTAAGTATGGACATCTGAACGCGGATAATTATCATTTTTTTCTTCGGATGCCCTGCATATAATAATCAGAGAAGGATACTTTTTGAAAGTCTTAATAGTGTAATAGAATTAGAAATTATGTCTCCTGATCAAATTTTGAATACTTTGCTGTTTGGTGATAGGCAATTACCTTATAAAATAAACTGTTCAATTTTTGAAGCAGTCCAACTGTACATCAAGTCTTAAAAAAGATTTTGATAGTATTTTGTAATTAATTAAAAAAAAAAATAATAAATCCAGATATTTCTCATATTTCTATTTACTTCAAGTCTCAGCATTTCCATGTTCCATGTATATGTAGTATTTTTCCATGGAAATTTGTCTTTGCACTTTATGAATTGATTTTCTTTACTCAGAGTTATTGCTTGATCAAAATTTATTTATTTTTTAATGTCAATATTTCCTTCTATTTTGTATTTTTCTTTTACATATTTTTTCTCTGCACTTTATTTGTTTACTTATTCTGTTTTGCTGTTTGTTTGCACTTAAATGGGTTTTTTTTATCTATTTTTTTTTTGGTCATTATATTGTATAGAGAGTATACCATGTATACGTACTTCATAATAACGCTTCTGTATAATTTAATTCGATTCATTTTTTTTCTTTTCTTTTTTTTCCACATTTGATAGCAAAAGAAATTAATGTAACTTATCATTGTAAATCATTGTCAATTCTTAACATTTGTAACCTTTACCTTGGAGAGGACTTATATAGACCATGCCTGATGTCCAATCCAATTATGTAATCTTACTTACATAAGAAAATATTGATTAAATTAAATTAAATTAACCATTTCTCTTTAATGTCTACATCCCCTTTTGTTTTCCATTCTTTCTTCACAATCTACCTTCGCTGTTCTTAATTTTTGTTCATTCCTTTTCAGTCTAAAAATTTACCTTTGATACTAATCCATACGAAAGATGAAATACTATGTTTTGTATACATTTAACAATACTATACATTATTGAAACAATTAAAATTACAATTTAAACTTCTCTGTTTTATTAGAAAAATAATGAGCCCTATTTATTCCTGGAGTCAGGCATACAGACGTGATGTGATATCGAACTTTCTTAAATAAGATTTACTACACTGGTCAACTAGAATTAATTCTTGTCTTCTAAACATTTAATAAAATGAACATCTCTACGTTAAAACGATTATGATTGATCTGCTTATACAATCACTCTATTTATTTACTAATTTTTTATTGACTCTTAAATGTTACAAATTAAGATAACATACATGCAGGAAACTTTGAAGTGAAAATATATAATTAATATTTATAATAGCTATAGACTTTAAATTATCTAAAAAAAATAACTGAAAATGGTTTGGGCTTAAAATTATATAAAACTTCTTTAAAACATAATCAGTTTTCCAGATTTTCTAATAATTCTTGCCATCCAGTATAAAAATCTTCTAATTTTCCTTTAGTACAATATAGAATTTTTTAAACATGTAATTTTTCCTTTAAAAATTATCTAAGAACCATAAAATTTAAGTTATATTTACAACTCGATTGTGCATTTCTAACAGTATAAAAATAGTATTTTGCTAGCAATAAACAATAATTCAGAGGTGTATTATAAGTATTTGTATAAATTCCAATATCACATTTTGACATGATATACTTAAGTTGCTTCTATATTCAAATTTAGTTAAATACAAAGAAGGTTATTTGATTATTGCATCTACGAGGGGTGATCAAAATGTTCGCCAACTATCTCTGTATTTACAAAACCACAATTCAGATAAGAATGAAATTTGGCACACATAGAGTCATACATATGTTCTATATAAAGCTTATTGTAATGAAAGGTTTTGCCTCATGTTTGTGACGTCACGATATGAAAAGTAAAACGGATATCTTGGAATTGTTTTGCAGAAGCGTATAATAAATTGTACTCGGTTTATGGAGACAAAAGACTTGCCAAAAATTTAGTCATCCATTGGATTGATTGTTTAAGTGAAGGAAGGGAGATTTTAAAAATGATATTTGTTCTGTCACCGAGTGAAACCAAGCTGGGGAAGAGATGTGTCCTTTGTTAAGCAATTTGATATGAAAGATCGCCAACATACAGTTTGAAAAATATTTGAATATCTTTACGATAATATAATTTATTAAATCCCTAAAATATCGTTTACTTCACACATATCAGATATGATAAAAAGAAGGCACCCATACTTTATCCACATTGAATGAACGACGCTCCAAAAACAGAGGTCTTGGGTTTTGATGGTCTCCACGCTCATTCTGGAAAAGGGTATCATTATACACCCATACTATTGCCGAGATTTGGCCATTTCTGACAAATGTACTGCGTATGTTTTTGACGTAGAAAATAAATAACTTGCATAGTAAGAAATATAACAGCCGGATCTGTGACAGAACGCTAAAGGAGCATGTCACGTGACCGCAAAAATCACGTGATCCCCGCATTGGCATAACGGTTGCAGATGCACATCAAAATCGGATAGAGAGGACTACTTTGAAAAATTTTCAACACTGAAACCCTATATCATTTCTTTTTGGAAGTTATTCAATTAGATCGTGAACTTCTTGATCACCCTTCGTATCTACTGATTCAGATTTGAACGGGGATAAAAATTTATTTGCAAGGAAACTTTTTAGCAGGAAGTCTTAGAATGAAATATATGGAGTTAACGAACAGTAGGCAAGCACAAAAGTCCAATAAACAGTACAAAATAGGAGCAGAGCAAACACGGACCTCCAAATCATCTGAAGTTGGATCAGGTATTATGGAGGAGTGAGTATACCCTGCGGACCGGTCGTAACCGCCTTGTACTTCTTGTCATGATCAGAAAATAACAGAAAAATCCGTCGTCAATTTATGTGCAAATAATGGAATAACAATTATTATTAAAAAAGTCAGTCAGCATTTGACTCATGATAAATTATTTTTGCTGACAAGGACATTGTATCCACCATAAAACTTACGAAATGATGAGTTTAACGAAAATTATTCATTCGTAGAGAATACTCTTGCGTACCGAATCAACTAAAGAGATATAAACCCCGTATGCAGACGATGAAGGTACATGTATATCGTTGCATAAGTAAGAGAGGTTGACGATTGAAAAGTTAAACTAAGTAATCTCGTTTGTCATATAACATGGTCGTTGGATTACTATTTACGTAATATTAAAGCCGTTTATATAGCATTTCGGGTTGTGTTTTTTTTTTTTTTTTTTTTTTTTTTTTTTTTTTTTTTTTGTTGCCTACTTTGAACGAAGCAAATATTCTTAAAACTCAACATAGAATTTAATTTGAAAATCTCTTTATTTATATTATTTTTTTCTTTGAAATAGAGAATTAAAAGGGGGATTTTTCACCATTCACTGTATTTCTTGCAAATGTTATGTCACAAAAAATAATCTAAATTTAAAGTTCTCAACTATTAAAACCAGGTGAAAATCATGTTGTGAGAGATACTTTTGTTCAAGATTTGGGTTACTTCTGAGCTATTGGTCAAGCAAGCAAAGCTGAACAATTTTGATACTCATTATCACGGTGTGATTTTTTATAAAAACAATTTTAGTGACATATGTTTAAGCTGACTTTGAAATATACTTTTAATTTACTGTAATTACTTTAAACATCATGAAAACTTTAATTATTCTAATTACTATGTAACTCCTAATGTGGAAATTAATTATTTAATCAGTTTACTCAACATGTCATGAGTTATTCCATCTAAGCCATCTGTCACTCATGCTCAGAATTGTGCTAATTGCCATTGTTATATTTTATTTTTTATATCTTACATGTATCATTGTTAATCAGTTAATCAACTCCTATGCTTCGGATTCTTTGGGTGCAATTTTTGGACTTCCAGAATTCACCCTACCGACCTAAGTTTATAATAAAGTGCTATTCCATCGTTAGTATTTTTACGTTTTATTGTTGCCGGAAAGTTTGACACTTATTTTTCCCCGGTGATATTATTATAACTACAGGCAGTTGTGATACTTTTTGCAGGTCTTAAGTGCAAGTCAAAGGATTAAAATTTCGAAGTTCACCATTTGTACGTGGTGGTACACTTTACATGTATCTCCATGTGAGTGAATTTTTAAAAGAATAATAAACAAGTACATTGCCTTATTATTGTCCGAAAAAAGTGAAATAAATAGAAATGATTCTAGGTAGGTGTAAATTAAAATATTTTTAAACAAAGTTATGAAGACGTCGTTTGACTTGCCCACATAAAAGAATATCGGTTAAAAATCGTGTCTTTGACCGTTTCGCTGTCATATCATTGTCCTTCACTGACCTAGTCTAAATGATAATCAATTACATGTTGCTCTTCAATCTCGGGGAGAGAGGTCATTGGCCGTTTTAATCGAACCACACACTATAAAATGCTAAGAGAATGAATTTCATGCTCAATTATAGATTGTACTGTATATGGCATAGGACTTGTGAGAATTAAATTTCACATGTTTTTACCATGATTTTTTGACCAGAAAATACTAAGATGCATTTTCTTCGTAAATCTTTATACTCGCCGATTGAAAAGGTGGGGGGTTATAGTGGTGATGAGGATGTCCGTCCGTCTGTCTGTTACGTATTTTTGATCGGACACATATTTCGGGTTTCCCATTACAGCAAAACATGGACACTTTTGTAACATTGAAGGGTATCCATCTGTTATCCGAATCTTCCCCTATATCGTTGAAAAAAATTAATGACTACTTTCACAGATTTTATATGACAGAAAGCCATTATGTACCTTTAATTTTACTTTTTGAACTGACACTTATTTCGGGCCGCCATGCAGGAGCAAAACATGAACTTTTTCATTATAATCAGTGCTCACAGTACCTCGGTTTTTTAACATGTATATATAATATTGAGATTTTTTTCTTTATCATTTGTTTCAGGATAATTTTTACTTTTTACGTACACGTATATTTAGAGTCTAAATGATTCATCACAGAGGGTTTTATTACTAGGTCTAATACTAATAAATAAATAAAAATATTTAAAAATAAACAAGATGTCATGTATTTATTTTTCTAATTAAATCATTTTCTGACATTAAGGCTGTTCTAATGGTGATAATGCGGCCATGTTTTTATCAAGGCGTATAATTTATCTCCGGGACACGCCGTCTGTCCGACATCTCGGTGACCTTTTAACACATAGTTGTGGGTGATCCTTCCGGTTTTCACGCCGCAATCAATCAGGCTCTTCACTGCGTTTATAGCCAGGTCGTTTGGTACATGTGACGTAAAGTCTCCCATGACACAAAATCCTGAAAAGGTAAGTAAGAAATAAAACTAATAATCTATATATGGTTTTAATATGAACAATATAACGCAATATACTGTAAACCAACTTTTATTCGCGTGCGAGAAATTTTCGCGAAGTTTGCGAATCTAACCGGCCTTTAAAGTGTATGTGTTTTAACAACAGATCCAAAAAGGCTTGATCGCGAAAATTAATCAATATATCCCTGCTTATGCAATATATAAAAGTTGGTTTACGATATCCCTTAAAAACGTTGCAATATTCCAAATCTATCGTTTTTGTGTGTGTCGTATAATTTTACAACTTTCCATTGACTTTGTATATTTAAATTTGTTAAAATTTTTGCCTGTAATTTTGCAATTTCTCGTTTGTTTTGTATATTTTTATTTGTATTCTTTAATTTTTTTTTCACTTATATACCTAAATTTTCCATATGTATAATTTTTCCATTTGTAATTTACAATTTTACATTTGCATTCTACAATTTTTAATCAGTATTGTATATTTTTCCATTTGCATTGTATGATTTTGATTGCATTGTTTATTTTGCAATCCCTTTACTTTTAGTTATTAAAAAACGTATTTTGCATTATACAATTTAAATTATTTCAAGATTTTATCGTAAAACTCTCTTATCCGGGTATCAAAAGACAATGTTTCCCAAAGCAAACGTTTTACCCACCCAGTCCATCGGTGTTATGATGCAGAGTGTGGGCTCCGATTGTATTCCAGCCTCGACCCTCATAAATGTTACCATCCTCCCCGATAATGAAACTGTAACCGATGTCTGACCATCCTAAATAAAAAGATTGATGATTTGATTCACAGGTTTTTATTGTAAGTTCTGATAAAATAAGAATATTTCCTGCTTGTTGTAACACAGGCGTCTACTCCGATGGTGAAGGTTACATCATTTTCATACTGAATTGGAGTTTTCCCTTTACCCAATCATAACAAGGAGCAGATGTTATGACTGGTCGACAAAGGTTGCTTACTGTTCCATGGCCCCTGATCCCCCTGAAGTTTTGGAGATCTATGTTTTTTATTGTCTGCATTTTGTTCATGATCTTCACATTTCATGATTAATCATATAAGTTGAAGAAAATACTGTTTTAAAAAACTGCAATTTCATATCAGACAACAAAGAAATGAATCATAGATTTCAACATGGTAATATTTTTATCAAATTGCAAAACTTCGTTAATATTTTGATACTAAAATAGAAACCGGTTTGCGGGAAAACTACTGTGCTTAATACATTTGTACCGTGTGAATCCATATGATAATTCTGGTAAGACTGGACTCGTTTAATGCATTCAGCTTTAGTGTGACAGCCAGGGGTAGCCCCGTGGTGAATATAAACGTGGCCAGGGGTTGCCGGAAGTGCTCCATTATGATGGGTTGGCGCACGCGCTCCCCACTCGCTACGACTGATGATGGTTGGACAACCAGAGGAGGAGTGAGAAGTGCCCGTATTATGAGATGTTGTTACTAAGAACATGAAAGAACATGATTTATAATTGAATGGACAGTTTTCGATAGTTCTGAATTTAGCAAGATTTAATACCCGTTGGTCACCATATTTTAGGCATACAAACACGAATACCTTAATCATTTTTCAATCAATTTACCAATTTTAAACTCATCTGACTAAGTTTTTGGGCGAAGATACATGTAACACAATTTTATTTTTTCTTGCGAATTTATATATTCACAAGCTTCCTTTAATTCGTAATTTTAGTATTCTAAAAGATTCTTGCCCTTTCGTTTCTGTCATTCAAGCATAAACTTGGTTGCTTAAAGATGAAAATTAGCTCGTTGGACCTCCAGCATGGCGGCCAAAGGGAAATAAATCTTGCTAAATTCTGCCCAATTGAAAACTATATATACCAAAACATCTGCATTTTGTGAATAAAAAGTTCAATTTTCCAGAATAAATCAAAAATGTTATATATACTTTACATGTAAGCAAGCGGTAGAAAAGAGTCGGTAAGAAAAAAAAAAATGACGAAGAAGAATATAAAGGAAAGGTAGCTTATATGAACTATGGAAGATGTCAATACCCTTGCCAAAGGAATGAAAATATTGTCTCTATACATAAATATACATAAATATATTGAAAGAGAAATTTTCCTTATGGAAGTTATTTGACAAAAATAACATAAATTAAGCTGACACCATTATCTTTGACTTACGTGAGCACGATTTAAACGTAAGGTATGTTGAGGATATCCAACCATTCTGAAAAAATGAATACAAATTGCAATTTATACACAGTGTGGGATAGGTTTTGACTAAACAAAGATTCACAAAGCATGAAAAATTATGAACTACATGTAATATTTTGTCCTTTTATTAATTTATCTTGCCTGTCCATGGTAGTCAACATTGGCCCAGTGCATGCCACCAGCTGAGTGCAAGTGTCCTTTGAATGCAAGACAGGTTCCAGTAGGTAAAGTACCCAGGATGTGATGGGTTGTACCGGCACCGGATCTGACGTGTACGTCATCTGTTGCACATGCGCACTCACTTGCAATTGAGATTGGTGCGTAGCAACAGAAAAGTAGGAAAGAAGTTCGCAGAAATACAGCTAGATTCATCTCATGTACAGAAAAAAAGTATAAAAATGATTTTGTACTGTTATAAAGGTTTTCATTATTTTTGGGCATAAACTATTACCATTCAAAATTTGGAAACGATTTTTGAATTCTAGTACATTGTATTGATATAAAAGAACAATATATTGTAAGAAAATATATTTACCGCACAATTCGTATCCTTTATCAACCTATAATTTGAGGGATTCAAAGATAGCTAGATTGAATTTCACCTTAATAGACCCCAAACACCTATATTAACCATGGCGACACTTATCATTATATTCACCTTGCGTTTTAGCATTAACAGAAATGCTAAATGCAATAGCATTGTTTTAAATACTAATAGTGTAAGTTTGCATATATCAAACAGCAATAAAGAGTGCAACTTTTTTGCACATTGGAATCAAAATATTGCACATAAAAGTATTAAGATATTCACCTTAGACGAATTCAAACCTTATGGATCTTCTGAACGGTTTATTGACAAAATAGAAATCTTCTTATATAATCTTATCAGCATGTGTGGCCAGAGAACTTCTATACACATCTACATTAATACATGCAGGACACGATATCTGTGTGTCCGTTTATTAAGGACAGATGATACAAACTAACTTTTGTCAAAAATTTTGAAAATAACAACTTGAGTCATGTTTTAATGAATAAAATGAATAGGTTTCACCGAGTAGTTTTTACATCTTTATTGAAAGTTGCACAAAAATGGAACTTGAAGTGAAAAAAATATTTGTACGGAATAATAAGGATGGTTTCAGAAGGGTAGAAATTGAACATCACAGAAGGTTTACAATTTCTTTATATTCTAGAAATTCATTTGCAATGAAATTAGGTCAAAAAATATATACCAATCCAGGCAGACAGTTTTTGTTTGTATGATCTGTCCTTAATTAAGAGAAATATTATTCAAATTTTAAAATCCAAAGTATTCATTTTTATGGAAATTAAAAAAAAACAATTCAATTTGTAAAAGAACAACTGCAATAAAACATAGCTATAATAAATCGCCAAGAAAGCCAATTTTTACTATATAATCAATAGAGCCCCACCCTAACACCAGAACCCGATCCTGACAGACGATTTTGCTTCATTATACCCGTCAAAGTGTAAATTAACAATGTAAATAAAGTAATGGGGATTGAAAATCAGTTATACACTCCAATTTATCAAAAACGTGTTTTCGCTAAGTGTTTTACTGTATACGTTTCACTACTCGCATACAAAGGCCGAGATATTCAGAGAAAATAAAATGTCAAGATATGTAATATTCTAATGTATTTTAGGAAACATAGCAAAATGTACATCCTTATTTTGTAAAATCTTTTTAAAAAATACAGTGAAACCTGTCTAATCTGGCATGCACTGGGAGACAAATTTTGTGTCGAAATAGACAGATTGTTGAATATTGCACAGTGTTAAAATAACGGTAAAATAGCGAAGTGGGAAAGAAATTTAATGTCGGAATTCACAGTGTGTCGAATTGCATAGGTGTCGGAATAAACAGATTCTCACTGTTCATGCCTTGTGTTAATGGTGGTAATGCGGCCAGTGTTGAATCAGGGCATAAAATTTATCCCCCGGACAGCTGGTCTGTCCCACATCTCGGTGACCCTTAAGAATATAATCCTGGGTGATTCTTCCCGAATTTACTCCGCAAGCTATCAGGCTCTTGAGAGCGTTTAGGGCCAGGTCATTCGGTACGTGTGAAGTAAAATCTCCCATCACACAGAATCCTAAAATAATTATATGAAAATGTGATTACTGAACGGTTAATAAAAATATAAAGTCAATAAATACTTTTTGTCTCTTAATTTTTCTTATAGTAATTTTTAAGCCATGTTTATATTTACCTCTGAGATTTAATATTGCACGACAATTTGGAAATTGAAAACATCAATGCAAACGACCTGCCGATTCTTGGAACAAGATTTTTGCATTGATTAATTTAAATTTCACTTCATATTTTTGACTAACTTCTGTTTCTCGATCTTATATTAAAAAAAAAACACAAAAAATAATCTCTAATTTAAATATTTGAATCAAACCACTGCTCATGATGACGTACCTAGGCCGTCATAATTATGGCCGTACGTGTGTGCTCCAATCTCATTCCAACCTCGTCCCTCGTAAATGTTTCCGTCCTCCCCCACAATAAAACTGTATCCTATATCCGGCCAACCTGACACAAGAAATTAACGAATTTCAAAGATAACTTTTTTTTTCCTATAACACAATTACTCCTATATGTTACAGCACAGAAAATCATTCTGTTCTCCAAAAGTCTTTTTGGTATAAGTACCAGTAATCTAACGTGTAATATGTTAAAAAGAAGACAATGCTACCAAAAACGAGCTTCAGTGGGGTATTTTTTAGCATTTGTAGCAAAAAATATGTTAACTTTTTTTTTACTTCTTTTCAATAATATTTCATTCATAGATTGAAAGTTTTAATTATTATCACACTGTACTTTTAAAGTTAATCTTTTATTTGTTATAATGTTAACATTTTGTTTGTTTCAATGCTAATCTTTATGGTTTGTTGAATAGTTAAATTTTGTTTTGTTAGAATGATAATCTTTAGTTTGTTACAATATTTATCTTTAGTTTTTAATGTTTGTATTGAGTTTGCTACAGTGTAAGCTTTTATTTAGTGGCCATCTTAATTTTAAATTCTTTAGGATATTTACCATGTGTATCCATGTGGTAATTTTGGTACGACTGCACTAGACGTATACACTCCGCCTTCGTGTGGCATCCATGCGTGGCGCCATGGTGGATATAAACATGTCCTGGCACCGCTGGAAGTGGACCAATCGGATGCTTAGGTGGACGGGCATGCCACTCACTTCGGCTGACAATCGCAGGACAACCGGAAGTTCCGGAAATTGGAGTATGCGCGGGTGACACTACAAGTTCGATGACTGACTTCAGACAGTGATTATTATTACACAAGTGGATTTTTTTTTAAGTTTAATGTAACATTGAACAAAGCTCTCTTTCTAAAAATTATTTGAGCAAAAAAGGTCAACAAATATAGATGCCAATTTCTTTTAAATTAAGTTGGTCATTATTCTACGTACATGAACAGGTTTTGAACGTCAAATATGTGGCTGATATCCATCCATCCTAAGTTGTAAATCAAACAATGTTAGTTTTTAAAAGCTTTTTATCTACATGGATTAACATGTAGATGACAGAAAAGGCTTTTAATAAGCCCTGTTCTATTTATAAATTAGGAGTTATTGCCCGTGTCTACATTTTTCAAAGATTGAATAATTGATTTGATAAAGCAAATAAGCATCTTTTACATTCTTTTTCTAAACAATATTGATCATTACACCTATTGAAAAGCATTTTTCCAAAAGATATTTTTCTATTTGGTATAAATTTAGATAAAATATATAACAGTTTTTGCAAAAACCTGTGACATCTTAAGAGGATGGAAATACCTTAAACATACAATCTTATAAAGCAGTCGTACTAACCTGGCCGTGATAATCAACATTAGCCCAGTGTGTACCGCTGACAGTAGTAAGATGACCTTTGAACCCAAGGCAAGAATCTGTAGTAAGAGTTCCGAGAATAGCGTGGCTTACGCCAGCACCGGATCTGATGTGAACATTTCCTGTTGCGCATGCGCATTCCTCAGCCATACAGAAATTTATTTGGCAGATGCAGAAGAGACAGACGAATCTTACCAAAATGTCCATTTTGATAAGTTTCTCTTCAAATACCTGGTTATAAAATTATGAATGAGGCACTTTCTGTAACAAAATGAATACAAACTGAACAATAATGAAAACTCCAAATTGTTAAGGATCATACAGTATGATTTTCTCTTTATCATATTATTTTTATCAATGAACACAAATAAAATAGGAACAAATTCGTATTAAATTTCCGTTAATTTTCGTTTTCATAGCAAACTTCTGATTTTGATTTCTTTCAAGCTTTTAGATGCAATTCATTTTAACCCATGAGTACTGAATAAAAATTATAAATTGGACTTCGAAATCTCTCTCTCTCTCTCTCTCTCTCTCTCTCTCTCTCTCTCTCTCTCTCTCTCTCTCTCTCTCTCTCAAGTCAATATCGTTATGAGGCTATATATTACTATCCATTTTACAGTCCTTGACAACATACATACATGTACTTGCACGATAAGTGTTGTCTCTCTTTCTCTCTCTCTCTCTTTCTCTCTCTCTCTCTCTCTCTCTCTCTCTCTCTCTCTCTCTCTCTGTTTCATTCGTATACACTAAGTCATTTTACCTCAAAACATTCAAATTTCAAACACACGTTGCGATATCGATATGACAATAGTTTTAATTCTATATTTTACTTACCTCAGTTACCAATCACAGCTTGTATAGCGTGTGTCTGTTAGCTGTTTATATGCATTTCGGTTTTACTTATCACGAGTTACATTTCCGTTCATTCAATGATAAGTATTTTATACGGAACAAAATCGATTGATATTGCGCTGAAAATATTTGTCATATTTAGATATTGTCTATTTCCTTGATCAAAACTAATGACTGATATCTGATGCAGAAAAAAGTATATTAGTTAAATGAGTACTTATCATAAGATTGTTGTGTTTGTTGAAAAGTATAGAGTAAAAAGACTAACTTAAGAGTTTATCAAAAAAAAACAAACAATGAATTATCACGGAAGAAGTTTTACTTTTATGTTTTAATAAAAAGTGTATAAACATAAGATAAAGTAGATAAAAACTATCAATATTTTATTCACACGTAGATATATGATGCAAGAAAAAATAGAGAAAAGTGTAACGTTTTCGGGTTCTTTAATGGGATTCGGCTGTTCTATCTGAACAATTAAAGAATAAATCAATTTTCTCAATCACAAATTTAAATTAATAATATATACACTAACGCCTTCGTTTCTCGGGAGCGCTTGCGCCTTCCACATACTGAAGCGCGTCCGCTTCTTATCTTTATTCAGAGTGTACCAAGGTACTATATAACAACCAAAGCCTCGAAAGTCTATTGCAGACACTTAAGACTTGATTTAACCAAGGTTTCCCTTGTTCTGGCGATCTTTTCTCTCATCGGCCGTTCACAACAGACTCTCTGATCAACCCGAATGTCTCCGTATTTATATACACTCCAGGTCACATGACCTGCGAAGAACCGAAGGGAACAAAGAGACAGGAAGTCAGCACAATACCACTACCGAGAAACGAAGGGATTATTTGATCTCGATTACAGTTTCGCTTCAAAAGGAAATGATCCATATAAAGCTAACAGATCCTAGTTAAGGGCTTGATCTACAAATGAAATGTATGGAGATAACGAACGGTATTCAAGCTCAAAAGTTCATTAAACAATAAAGGCACAGAGCAAACACAGAATTTTGAAACATCAGAGGTTGGGATTATTTAGGTACCATGGAGCAGTGAGCATCTCCTGCCAACCGATCACACCAACCATGTGCTCCTTGTCATGATTGGGAAATAATGGGGAAAAATCCGTCGATAATTCAGTATGTAAATAATGCTCTATCAATTAGTATGAAAAAAGTCAGTCGGCATTTGATTTTAAGGTAACTTTGCTGACCAGGACATTGTATCGACCATAAAACTTATTAAATGATTACTTCAAACTAGACTGCTGTTATTCCAATCTTATTTCCTGGGTAGAGTTGTGAGGGTTCTTTCAGTACGAACTTTTTTATACTCAAACTACATGTCCCTTACTTGATTATACTGCAACAAAAAAGTGCGCGTGTGGTTGGGTTCAATCGGACTTTCAATGAACATTTTCTATAGTTTAATATTATTTCTTGAAAAAAGCTCAACCCCATATCCCATTGTTTGACGATTGATTGATTGATTGATTGATCGTGAAGATTAGAATAAAACCGAAGTGATGTGTCAGAAGGCACAGAGATCACCAGTGCATATAATAAGAGTGTTTTAGTGTTTGTAATTTGTGGGAAATTTCTGACTGGTTTATTTGAATTTTTTAACACGTAGTAATATTTTGAGTGTAAGCATATTAAAATGGAGTCTTCCATGTAATTGATAAAAGGTTATTAATGCATAAACATTTATATAAAATCCAATCTTCCATTCAATAATACAAAGAGCGTTCAACATTTTTTATCCCTTATGGCATCAAATATGAATTATAACAGTTCATTGTCCATTTCGTTATCAATGAATGGACGAATATTTAATGACATCCGGTCAAAAAATGAAGAAAAAAATCAGTTCAAGGGGAAGACATGTTCACAAGTGCAATTGACCTACATGTTTACATACAAATTGTACAACATACATGTAACGCATTTATTCCTATACACTGCAGTCCAATGCAGTCCAACACAAAGGACATCAAAGGTGACTTGATTATGTACTCCTATACACTGGACATCCATAATGAGTTAAGCATTGTAATCAAAGATTCTTTAAGCATGCATTCTTACATGTACACATTAGACATCATTTATGCGTTGAGCATTGACATAAAAGATTCTACAAATTGTACATCAAAGACGTGTTTATCATTTACATCAAAGAGTTCAACATGCATTCCTACATTAGACATCAAAGATGACTTAAGCATGTATTCCTACATATTAAGCATCAAAAATAAGCTAAACATACCCTTCTTTACATTGGACATCTAAGATACATTAAGCATTGAAATCAAAGATGAGTTAAACATGTATTCCTACGCACTTGACATCAAAGATAAATAGGCTTTCTTAATTCCAATGGATACGCAGTTTAATATTGCATGATTTCTATAACGCAAAAGTGATTCGGGATGTTACACGGAATCTTTGATTATATTTAACATGCAAAAAGACCAAATATATCTCCATATCAAAGTAGAACATGATAAAGAAAACAGAACTTCATGTATCTGCATGGGCTGTCAAAAAACGTCCACATCTCTATAGTTTACTGGCTGTCTAAGGGAAGTAATTCTTTTTGTGTGTTTGTTGTGTGTAATATTAGTTATCCAGGTTCAATCAAGGGTGTACGGGGATTTACCCCGGTTGTATTCCATACACCCTGAGGCCGAAGGCCGAAGGGTGTATGGAATACAACCCGGGGTAAATAACCGTACACCCTTGATTGGACCTGGATAACGAATTTATTTCCTTTGTACCCATAAAAATGCTTTGTAAACATGATTTTTAGCTTTTATCATAGAGAATGTATACATTGTGACGTCACGTTTTATTTACACCCGGCTCAAGTCGGGTGCACGGATATTTACACCCGACTTTGTAACCAATCAAAGCTCGTGTTACAAGCTAGATAGGAAATAAGTGCTTGTATACTGTAAGAGTGTATTGTGTGTATTGGCATGAGAAATGCGTCCACGTCAGCAATGACGTCGGAGTGGAAGAAGGCATCATGCGTATATTGATGTAAGCTGTTATGCCTGTCAATCAAGTGAGGAAAAGGTTATCAATTCAAGTATCATTCAATCTGCATAATTATACCCGTTATTACCCTACAATTTGGTTTATTTCAAAACTTTTAGAAGCACTCTTTAAAGCCGCTTCATCCGAAACAGGCACATATTATCTTTAACAATAAAAGTATATCATTATATAGATAATATATAAAAAATTAATTATAAGATTGATTTAATAGTTTATTACAACAATCCTTACATGGAAAACATAGACCAAAAACCTTGTTGACAAACAGCAGTTCCTGACGGGAAGTTAAGATCTGTTTTGAAGTCATCTTTGAAAAAAATACTTTTATCGGATATATCTAATTATGAAGAGAACTCAAATCCGAGTATTTTTTTCAATTAGTAGAATCCTAAGTCATGATATATCTTTTAAAAATTAAGGAATTAATTGAACATAATCCATAGTAATCTTTATATTAATATGCATATTTACAGAATAAAGGAAAATAAGATATTTTTAAAGATTTTTTAAAAAGGGGGTTTAGTAACGAGGGCTAGAATATTGCCTGTGCACACTTTGTTGTGGAAAAAATGCTCGGGTTTGTTCTTCACGAGTTATACATGTAAGCGATAAATTTAATTTTTCGAAGGTGACTTCACGCAATGTCAACAAATGTCAACAAAGGATTATTTATTGTGTGACCTAACAAAAATTATTTTTTTAACTTTTGAATTTTGATATCTTTAAAAAGAAAAAGACTTTGGGGATATAATTTGACAAAAGTTGAAATAATTTATGGACAATTATTTTTCAAGAAGAAAAACGAATATATTTTTTAGCGATTAGAATCGGACCAAGCGGCTTTAAAAGGCAATGTCAAATGAAGTCAGCATTTGACTTTCCTATTTTTCATTGTCTGAGTAGAATATCACAGAGAACTTGAAAAAAGAGGTGTTTAACTGGATTAAACGACTTCTGTTTTGTGATGCCTATTGAAAATACATTAATTTTTTTTTTTTAAATGCAATAAATGTTCTTCATTTTCAAAAGTACTTTGTTCAGAAATAACGTTTAGATAAAGAAAAAAAAAAAGAAATAGCAAACGTCCATCATATACAAATCAAAGTCATGCGTCTTTTGGTTATTGTGGAAGCAGATGTTCTTGTTTGGTATTTAAAAATGCGCATTTTACTTTTTCGAGTTCTTCGTCTGTGTACTTCTTCTTTGAGAGAATATTGAACAGTGTTCTACTTGCTTCCGTCCGTTGGCGTCTGGATTCGTCAAGAAGATTTTGAAAATGAACCTTATGAATAATGTCGAATTGAAGTAGGTAATCACAAAGCGGAAAAACATCGACATTTTGAATAAAGTCTGCACAGGTTTTCTGCAAATGCATCTGGAAAGAAGAAGATCCCGATACTCTTGGAGTAGGGTCTTCTGAACTAATGTTCTCAACGGAACTCTGGATTTTCTCTACTATAGCGCGGTTTATCTCTAATGCCTTCATCAATTCAACAAGGGAAGTTTGTCTTTCAAAATGGTGCTCTTTGGCGGTTTTCTCAATTTGTATCAACTTCATTTGTAAAGTTTTAAGAGATGGTTGTTCACTTGATTCATCTTGATGTTCTATGGGTTCTGCTGCAGAAACACGTTTAGGTTTTGGAGTATCCAGTGGTGTTAGATACCCATCATCAGAGAAATAGTTTACATATTTTTCCAAATCAGTTGTTGCAACAGTTAATGTCTTTTCAAGTTCAACAGTATATTTTCCTGCTCCAACCTCTTGATTCACACCTTGCAAGGTTTTTAAAAGCTCATTTACTCTAACATATGGTGAATCGCCGACAACATTACCCTCTGGATTTTGAATTGCATCTGATTTATGTGCACAGTGCGTAAATTCTACAGTCTGTAGACGAAGTCGAAAAATTTCGAATGAAAGATACACCGGTAAATTTACATCTACTTCGGGTGAAATGGTTTTCGTATAAATGCATGTTCCATCCTTGAAAACATGAAACTTTCCTTTTGTTGGCATGCAAATAAAAAAGTCCCCTATGCAATGGTCTCTCTCTAGTTTTGTAGAAATGGACGGACAAAATTCTAAAGAATTGGCCGAATCCGCATTCTTGTTGGAGATTCCTATTTTAACATGATAAAGCCTCGGCTTTTCTTCGTTGTTGATATGCTCTGTTTTGACATGAATGGATCCATTCTCTTCCAGACTGTTTTCTAGAACTGCATAAGCGAGAGGAAATGGAGATCGCAGAGACACTTTTAGTCTTTCGTTTTGTAAATCAATATTTCTGTCAATTTTTTTGTGAAATCGCAAAGCTGCACCGGTTTCTTTATCTGAAAGCATAAATACAATGAATTTATGTTTCAGAAAATATTAGATACGGAACTTTTAATTTATAGAAAAACATTGTGATTTTCATTAACTTTGAAATGAAACTTTATAAAGTTTATCCTTGAAGATGTTTTCCTGATTACTCTTTTGTCTCTGTTTGAATTAGTAAACGTTGATTGATTGATTAATTGATTGATTGATTGTACTTCTTAAGTTCGTTTGAGAATTGTTTTCACTAATCTGGATATATCGTGGTATTTCGGTACATTTAGACCTTTACTCAGCACTCATGGCCATTTAGCAGCTAGCTGGTTGGCTGGATGTCTTTAGTATGTGCTGCCCGCGTGACGCAGTGGTTAGAGCGTCTGCTCTAGAGTCGCGAAGTAAGGAGTTGATCCTAACATTGCAGGTTCCAATCCCACTGTGGGATGTTGAGACCGGTCCTTCGGATGAGACGTATAAACCGAGGCCCCGTGTCGCAGTAGGTCCTGGCACAAAAATGACCCTTCCCTGCTCAATGGTGCTTAGTGCCGAGTATAGGACAAAATTTGCAGCTCTCCACCGGCAAGTGGTGGCGTCTCCATATGAGTGAAAAAATCTCGAGAGGGACGTCAAACAATATACAATCAATCAACCTTTAGTACGTCATTGCTTGCAGTGACGTGGTGCCTTGGTTTTTTAGTTCTCATCGAAAGACCCGAAACTTTTACTTCAAATTGCAACGCGCTGACGAAAGGAGAGTTGGCACGTGTACGTATTCCTTTGTATCGAACTAGTTCAGCTTTGGCAACGGCTTTAGCACACGAACTACCAATCACACTACGAGAGATCTTCGAAATGAGGCATTGTTGCTCGGGTTACGAATTGGTTGGTGCGTAAGCTCCGAAGTCGTATCAATCCTTAAGTCGCGGGTTTGAACCCCACTGCGGAAAATGGAGCCCGAACCTTTAGATGAGACTGTTAAAACCGAGGATCCTCCTCGTAGTAGTTACTGGCACGAGAGAAAAAACCCATACGTTCAATAGTCTTTCAAGAGTGACAAGTAAAGATCTGAGATGTGCAGACCTCTGCCAGCAAGATATTGGCGTCTCAATATGAAACAATCTAATTAAAATTAGATGTTAAGATCCGCTCGCATACTCGCTTCACTAATATCTAACAAAAGATGGTCATATCAGGGTCACGTCAGGGGTCAAAATCTATCAACCAATCAAATCGTCGCCTGCAAAATCATCGTATATTTGTTGAAGCAAATAATTTGAGCTGTTCCGAATTTGACCTTTGGTCTACTTACATTCATTCTATGTACTTGAGACCATGGTAACTATGGAAATTTACTCAACTTTTCTGCGCAAGCGTACGATTGGGATGAACAAGTATTAAGCAATATTTTCGGTATGGGGCATACTGAAATTATTGTTACTTTTTTTCTCCTGAAAATTAGAATTTTTAGGTTCTGAAACCTAAATACAGGGTCACGTCAGGGGTCAAATTCTATCAACCAATCAAATCGTCGCCTGCAAAATCATCGTATATTTGTTGAAGCGAATAATTCTCGAGCTGTTCCGAATTTGACCTCTGACGCGACCCTCTACGGGATGATGTTAGTGTAGCGAGTATGCGAGCGGATCTTAAAGTGACTATATGATTCAAAATCATGGTTTCTTCTCAGATATCTGTAGCATGCAGAGAAAGACTTATGAAAATTATGAGTATATAGCTAAGATATGACAATTAAATTGCAAGAAAAGACTGCTCAATATAAGTGCCGGAAAAACAAAGGTTGTATCTACCGTTTTGTTGTTTTCGTGTATGTCAAGGTCACGCCACTCTTATTTTTAGCTCAAAGTTGTACATTCAAACATTCAACTGGTGAGAAATATGTTCTAACAATCTTTAAAAGATTGCATCAAATTTTTTGGTCTACTTACATTCATTCTATGTACTTGAGACCATGGTAACTATGGAAATTTACTCAACTTTTCTGCGCAAGCGTACGATTGGGATGAACAAGTATTAAGCAATATTTTCGGTATGGGGCATATTGAAATTATTTATACTTTTTTTTCTCCTTAAAATTAGAATTTTTAGGTTCTGAAACCTGTAATTTTCTGAAACCTAATACTTGTAGGAATTGAACAAACTTTACTCGGGTCATGCAGAAATTCTACATTTGTCAATTTTTCCCTTTGTGCGTCACAGTGTCTCTTTAACATCTAATTTTGATTAGATTGAATATGAAAGGGATGGCAAACAAAACAAGCAAAGAAACCAAGATATAGTTGGAAAAATAGTAAAATCGAATTTTGAATCAATGCAATGGCAAATGCGCCTAATCTTGTCAAAAAAAGATTCTGCATATTCTGAATTCTTGCTTGTTTACCTCTAATTTCTGCTGTCATGTTTTCACCAAATTTTAGGTAGAATACTATCCATACATCAGCATTAGGCATCAAATTCTTCCCTTGTGGAGCGGAATCTTTGTACTTCGTCTGAAACACAAACGTTTTTCTACCCTCTGCCTTTTTAACAATATCTACCGTGCATTTACGTTTGTGGAACCGAACGTCGGTAACCAGAACTATCTGATTGTTTCTGACAGCTTGCTGTAGATCACTCAAATGATTAGGATCAGTCTGTGTCAGTCCAATGCTTGCATGGCCACTTCCGTCAAAATTGGCCTCATACATCCGGTCGTCTCGGAGCGGAAAATCAGAGAATGCATGCCCATAGGATTTTAAAAATTTCCATTCGGCTTTAAAACAATTCTGGGCACCATCTTTCTCTAATGCGATATTATCGCCATGGTTTTCTGAAAAATGTGGTTTCAGTGTCTGTAATTAAAGGAAACAAAATAATTGACATGTTATGTACATACAATGAATGACTTTAAAAATTGTATTATTAGTGAATATATATTTTCGTTGCTTTATTCTTTTTGCCCAATGAATAGGGATGGGACCCTAAGAGTATACATGTATAAGTCAATAAAAATATATGTATAACATTTGTATCATGGATAAGATATTAGTTTTAAAGGAAAATCGAGTTTGAAAAAAAAACTGACAAACTACAACAAGAGGCCCAGGGGCCACATCGCTCACCTGAGCAATTGACTAGGAAAAAGCACATATCAGATCAGAACTGAAGGTTACTGAGGGGGGAGGGGGCATGAATTTTAACCCCCCAGGGGGTCATGATTTGAACAAACTTGAATCTACACTACCTAAGATGATTCCCTATAAATATCACTAAGCATGGCTTTAAAGTACTTGAAAAGAAGATTTTAAAAGGTTTCCCTAGATATTCCTATGTAAAACTTTGATCGGCCATTTTGGCCCCACCCTACCCCCGGGAGTCATGATTTCAACAAACTTGAATCTACACTACCTGAGGATGATTCCACATGAGTTTCATCGTTCCTGGCGCAGTGGTTCCGGAGAAGAAGATTTTTAAAGATTTTTCTTACATATTCCTATGTAAAACTTTGATCGGCCATTTTGGCCCCACTCTACCCCCCGGGGCCATGATTTGAACAAACTTCAATCTACAATACCTGAGGATGATTCCACATGAGTTTCATCTTTCCTGGCCCAGTGGTTCTTGAGGAGAAGATTTTTAAAGATTTTTTCCTATATATTCCTATATAAAACTTTGATTGGCCATTTTGGCCCCACCCTATCCCCGGGGGTCATGATTTGAACAAACTTGAATTTACATTACCTGAGGATGCTTCCACACAAGTTTCATCTTTCTTGGCCCGGTGGTTCTTGAGAAGAAGATTTTTTAAAAATGCTATTAATTTTTCACTAATTCACAATTATCTCCCCTTGGAAGAGGGCGTGGCCCTTCATTTGAACAAACTTGAATCCCCTTTACCCAAGGATACTTTGTGCCAAGTTTGGTTGAAATTGGCCCGGTGGTTCTAGAGAAGAAGATGAAAATGTGAAAAGTTTACGACGACAACATCGACAACGACGACGACAGACAACGGACAAATTTTGATCAGAAAAGCTCACTTGAGCCTTCGGCTCAGGTGAGCTAAAAAAGAGGTCCATGGGCCACTTCGCTCACATGCATGGGTACACTGGCTAAAAAAAATTACAAATCAGCTCTGAATAAAATGGGGATGGGGGCTTGGTTACGGGGCCAGTATACGTTTGCACTTGTTGTTCCCCGCTTTCACTGAGAGTGGGGGATATCAATTTGGGTCTGTCTATCCATCCGACCGTCCGTCTAGCTGCTTTAATTTTCTATCTGTCTGTAACACTTTCATTTCCGTGCGATATCTCGGGAAGCCTTTGAGCGATTTCGCTGAAATTATGGGAAATTCTAATGGGTTTCCCCCACTTCTGCACAAAATATTAATTTTTTCCAACCCTTCTAAGAAATACTTTCTTTGCAAAGGCACTTTTCGTATATCGGGTCACTGCCTTCTTTTTCCTCATAAAAAGGAAGGGGTGGCCCCTCCTAAAAGTACTTGTGGTCCTTTTATATTTGAATTCAAATGGGAATTAAAATCACCTTCCTTTGTATTGAGTAAACTGCATTGATGAATGATAGCGCGATTAAATGCATTTAACTGCGAGAATGTGCAACCAAGCACACAAAGAGGAACCATATCTTATGATCTCTATTAAGGGGGATATGACTGAAGCATTTAAAATTAGTCCTGGGGTATATGATAAGAAAGATAGGATAGGAAAACATAATCCATACAGCTCGTTATAAAAGGTATCCAAAATTACATAATTTGGTCTATTGAAGTGAAACGTTGCATGGAGGATTTCTGCTTTTGCTTCATTTTCTCTTACGGGGGAGGGGAGGAAAACATATGCTATAAAACTAAAGAAATTTTAGTTGGAAAATGACCCTCTCAAAGACAATTTTACCCAAGATAAAAATGAAAATAAAAAATGTGTTTATTGTGGACTGGAAACCTCAATTTAAACATTACACATCTACAGTGAGATCTTTAATCTTTTTATTCGTGGATTTTTTTTTTCGGTTTTGGTTTATCTTTCTTTGTTCATAGAAGACTTTTGATCTTTTGTTATGTAACAGGGCGACAGGAAGACTAGAAACGGTATCAAATAACATAACTTTTCCATGAGCTTTATTTCAGTAAACATACCTTTAATCTTCCTCTTTTAACATGTTAGGCAGAAAAAAATGGGCTTAATCAAATTGTTGAAACGTACCATAGAACCCCCCCCCCAAAAAAAAAATAAGTTAAAAGATTGAGAATCAGAGATTGTTTTAAGAGCACTGGCGGATCCAAGAATCTTATAAAGGGGGACAGACAAGTTTGGGGTCGGGATAGGGGCCCAAAGCCACACCAAGAATTATTAAATTCTATGTATATTTTATTTTGGACACGAAAGGGGGACCCGGGCACCCTCCCACTAAATCTGCCAGTGGAGAAAAAAAAGGAATGAGAGAGACGATAAGAAAAGAGTTATTAACAAGAAAAAATAGGACAATTTTCTCATCTGTAGGAAAACTTGAAGGGACATAAATTTAACATGTGTAACTTATTTAAATATATTTAACTCGATTTTGTAAACCTTTTAAGTCACACTGAAATAGACCTCAATAAAGAGAGATGTCAACTGTTCTCAAATATCCCCCGACCCACCTCATATAAAATTAATCACTTTACTATTTTAATGTGTGTCTTACATACGTGGTAATGTGAGGCCATTTTACTTCCTTGGAAACATTATTCTGGTTCTTCTGAAAGAGAATGACATTGGCTCATTTATATACAATTTTATTGATAAAACTTGATTTAAAAAAAGATATTGCTCTGACTAGCAAATTCAAAACACGTGTACAAGTGTCTTCATTTTATTTCATACAATATTCATCAAATGCTACAATTCTTAAAACATTGAAGTACATTAAATATCATATGAAATATAATCATAAAATTCTTAATTAATAAATATTTGAAAAATGAAGTCCCCCTCTCTCTCCTTCACGACCTTTCTCCCTATGTCCACTCTCTCTTACCCCATATCTCTACCCTCTTTCTCAACTCCCACTGCCTATCTCTCCCCCCATTCCTTCTCTCCCTAACTATCTCTTTCTCTCTCCCTTCCTACTCCCTTTCTCCACACTCCCTTTCTCTAGAATCGCGAAGTAAGAAATCAATACTTACGTCGCGGGTTCGAATCCCACTGTGGGACGTTGAGACCGGTCCTTCGAATGAGACCGTTTAAACCGAGGTCCCGTGTCGCAGTGGGTGCTGGCACGAAAAAGATTCCTCCCTGCTCAAGGGCCCTAAGTGCCAAGATATACAATCAATCAATCAATCCACACTCCCTCTTCAACCCCATCTCATTCCAAATGCTCTCTATCTCACCGAACTTGAGTACCAACTCTCTATCATACATTCTCTGCGCCGACTCCCACATCCCACTCTCTCCCTCCCCATCCCTCTTTTTCATCTCCCATCCCTCTCTTTTCCCTAACTTAGTTTCCCTCCCCACTACGCACTCTCTCTCTCACTTCCTCCCTACTCTATCTCCCTCTCTCTCTCCGTCCCACTCTCTCTCACTTCCTCCAGCTTTATCTCCCTTCCGTTCTCTCCTTCCGACTCTCCTTTCTTTCCCTCTCTCTACCTCCCTCTCTCCCACTCCTTCTCTCCCACACTCTCTTTCTCTCTCCCTCCCCTCTCTCCCAAATGGGTGGGTGGGAGTGACGGAGACAGAGAGAGAGTCGCATGCGGAGAAAGAGGGAGTGGGATGGAGTGACAGCAATCACCCCTCTCTCCCATTCTTTTCCACTCCCTCCAACGCTCACACTCCTTCTCTCCTTACTCCTGCTATCTTTCTCTCTCTCTATCCATACTCTTTCTCTCTCTCCCGATATCTCCCCATTCTCTTACTTTCTTTTTTTTCTTTATTTCTGTCTGACTTAGTTAATATTAGATGTTGTTAAAAATAAACTACATATGCTTTATACTTATTTGTTTCATAGTTATTAACAATAAAAATAAATGAAAATTACTCTTCTTAAAAATTCTTGAAAATTCTTATCGTTTCTCTAAAAGAAATAATTAAATGTTTATTTTGATTGTTTTATTTTAACTTGGAATAGCAATATTGTTTATTTTTGCATAAAAATTAATATCATTTAAAGTTAAAGGGGCGATAACTTCAAACAACAGAAAATACTCCATTTCTGTTAACAATTGTTCATTGCGTTACATGTTTGCGAATTTAATTCATATGTTTGGAGAGAAAAATATATGCTAAATAACATGCATGAATCATGATAATTTGTTGTACTTTTACGAAGAGAAGATGTGCGACTATGTCCTATATTATCCACTTGCATAGAGATGTTCATAAATACCCTCTAATTGACATAGTGTGTGAATTAGGTTTTGAAATTCACTATACTTTTCCATTTTAATATATGTATCATATTACTTAAATTCTATATTTTCATATTTTTTGTCCTATTCATAAATTGTGTCGTAAATTGTGTTGAATGTTAACCAAAATGCACATGCATCGATCATAGCCCCATCGTTGTTCTACGCATTAATATCCGGCATTTCATATTTTCTCATTGCATATATTAAATGTTCTTTTGTTTATTTTTTAAATATGTATTGTTAGTAAAACTACATACACAATTACTCTTTACTTGGTGTATGGTTCTATTCTACAAATAGATTTCCAAATAACGTTTTTGACTGGACATTGCTAAATGATTTTAACGTTGGGTCATCTGCGTGATTTGAGAGTAGTATAAGCCTCCCCGCTAGCCCGGAAGATTCTGATT